GGGTCTTTCCATGGGTTGTTTGGCCCAGCTTCATGCCCCTGCCTAGAGGATGCCAGGCCATTCATGTCACTGGTACCTTAGGGAGGCCACCTGGGAGCTTAAAATCAACCAGTGCAATAAGGTCATAAGAGCTTTGGCCTTCACGCTCCACAAGGCCTTTCCTTTCAGGGAAACTGAGGCCTGGTCAGTACCTGCTCAGTTTGGCTTTATTGGTGAACTGGGCTCAGCCTGTGGAGGAAGCCAGGCAGCCCCACCCTCACCTGGGAAGCATCCTCTATCCCTGACTCACCAGGCACTTAGGCCCAGCTGCAACAGGAAGGAGAGTTGAGGGTGGGGCGGTGGGGCGGTCTGAGGTCCTACCACTGGAGGCTCACACCTCCTGCCTCCAGCTAGCTGAGCTTGGTCCCTCCCTGACCAAGACAGATGGGAAGGGAATGGGGAGTGGAGGTGGGGAGGGCTCCTGTTTTTTAAAATCTCCAGGGAAGCATGCTTGCTCAGACAGAGGCAAGTAGGAATTCATATCCCTTGCTCTCAAGGAACACCTCTTACTTGCTCGTGGTGTAATAAAAGGCCTGCACTTATATCCTAGTGCTCCAGTTCACCTGATGTGTGTCCTTGGGCAAGTTACAGCCCTTTAAAGGGTCTCAGTTTCCTCTTCTCAAATATAAGTCAGGTAATTCCCACCTACCACCCTCAAAAGGCAGTTTATGAGACTCAATGAAACAAAGCGTGTAAAAGCATTTGGACAAAATGGTAGGTGCTGTCCAGGTGACGGACACAAGGAACTATTAAGCACACCATGTGGTCAACAGTGTGGATGCAGAGCTCAAACCAGTGCCCACCATGGCATCCATGCTAGGGCAAGGGAACAGCCAGTTGTAAACTTTCTGGGCTACCTAGCAGATTGCCCCCCACTTTCCTTTGTAAAAAATTCCCCTTGGATTTTATTTCACACTCCCACAGCTGCTCACAGGGGGGTCCCAGGGCTCCATCCCCCAACAGGAGAGTTGAAGGCAGCTGGTGTCCTGGACTGGGTGGGGGACTACGGAAGGACACTCAGTTGGAGAAGTGTGGGAAGGGCTCACTCAACCTGAGTCAAGCTCTACCCCAATCTGGCCTGAACCAACCCTGATGAGAGACCCCCAGCCCAGGTCGGGCCCCACTCCGGGCAGGCAGTCAAGCAGCAGAGGCCCCATCTGATACAGGCACTTCCTTTGGTTAATGAGAAACCAAATAAACCGCCTCTGCCCCAGCTGGCTCCAGGAGCACCCCAGCCAGGCCCAGCCCTGCACTAGCCCAACCTTCCTTCCCTCCGCCCACAGGCCAGGCCGTGGCTCTCCACCCCCTTCCTTCTCCACCAGCTCCCTACTTCCCTCATAGCCCGGTGACTCCTTGGCTGGCTCTCTAAGGCTTCCTGCTCTAGATCACCTCTCTCTCTCCTTCCTTCTCTTCCTCTTTCCTCTGTTGCCTTCTTCCCCATTTTTAGCTGCTAGATCTCACTTGCGCTCTTCTCCTGACATCCGTCTTAGCCATCTCCACAGGGAGTCACCCCCACAATACCATCAGGCTGCTCCAAGGCCCTGCTAGTCTGCCTCTCCACTGTGGGATGGAGGCCAAACCCTCTTCAGGGCCCTCACCATACTCATTGACTTGAGCAAGTACTCATCAGCCTGTGGGAGGTAGATCGGGTGTTCAAGGCTGCTTTAGCTTGAGGATATGGACTGCCGGCAAGAAGCCCCCAACTATGCCATGGTGGTGGCTATGGTGTGGCCCAGCTCAGAGCAAGATTTTTCTGGCTGAGAGGTAAATTGGGCAGCCTGAAGCAGGCCCGATACCCAGTAGGCCGCAGCTGAAGCTCAGATCTTGGGAAGCTATTTCTATCCACCTCCAGGCATCCTGAGGCAGGGCAGGGCTGGACCTGCCAGCAGGGGCTGGACCTGCCAGCAGGTCCCAGATCTAGCCCCAGCTAGGTGTGGGCAGTACTTGTGGACACACCCAGGTCCCCATGGGAACATCCCCTCCTCCATCAACCCTCTCTAGCTGAGCCTGTGCCAGACTGGGCAGATGCCCATGGGCCTATGCCACAGAGGTGACAGGATGAACAGGGGAAATGGCCCCAGGCTCCATGACAGCAAAACAAGAGAGCAGAAAAACCTGGGGTGAGGAGAGTGGCAAAAGAGGCATAGGGCATGAAAACATCTTGTTCCACTAGGATAGCTACCCTCTTCCCGTACCCTGCCCCAGTCACCAGTGGTTTGGGCACAGAAAAGCAGACACACACACACCCCACCACACAAACACACACAACTCTCACACTCCATTTCCCAACATCACGACACCATTTTACACCCATTTCTCCATGTGGTTAATTTTTTTTTTTAGTTCTCATTTTTTTTCTAAGAAATAAGCAACAAGAAAATAATTCAGAGTTTATACAAAACATCTTTACATTATTTTTTTCCAAAAAGACTAGTATTTACACAAATGGCAACAGAAACAAAAACAAAAACCCCTCCGACTGCCACCTGGAAGGGGCTGGCTGTTCTGCTCCCTCTCCCACCTGGCACCGGGGTGGGCAGCCGGCCAGGAGGCAGTGTGGAGGTGGATGGGTGAGGCCCAGCTCCTTCCATGGCTGCTCTGGGTGTGCCTGCAAGGCACACTCAAGCGGCAGTCTGTTAGCAGCCGTGGCTGGCAAGGAACTGGGGTCAAAGTGCACGGCGGGCTGACCCAGCCCCAGGCAGCCTCTTCCTCTTTCCAGGCCCCAGCCCAAGACTGGGAGAGCAGCAGGAGCTGGGTTGGGCGGGGGGTTACCCACCTGTGCTAGGACCCAGAAAAGGAGCAGGCCACCTGGCCTTATACCCGCTTAGGTCTCCACCCTGGGCCTCTGTTTCCCCACCAGGCCAAAGGATGCCAAAGGTAAGGAGAGAACAGGGCGGGGGGGGGGGGTGGGGGAAAACTCCCAGCTCTTCAGGGCAAATAGCCACCTGAGCACCTCACCTCCCTCCACCCCCCATGAGGTCATCTGCCTGCAGCAGCTCTCCTGTTCCCCAGGCAACAGCCAATTAAGACATTAATTACCGTGAGAGTGAGGGAGCAGGAGATGCCCAAGGATCCCACAAGGAAGGGATTTTTTTTTTTGGTGGAAGGGTGGCAGTGACTACCCCATTGCCAGGATAAGCTCCGTAGAAGGAGGGTCAAGAGGGGAGGGTGGGACACCTTGCCCAGTGGCACTTTCCTCTTCCCTCATGGGCAGGAACAGCCCTGGCCTGCCCCTTACCCTGCCAGAAATACCAAGGAGTCTATAAAGAAATGGCATCCTATGCTTCCTGGATGACCATATCGTGCCCCAGGCCCTCTTATACTGACTTAGGCCAGGCTCACAAAGCCTGGGGAGGGGCTGTCTTTTACATTTTTCCATTTTTCTTCAAAAAACAGATGAAAATGAGTTGACAGCTAAAAAATGAACACAAAAGCATTAAAAACAGTGATGATAGCGGACAAGCAGTCCTGGGAAGGGGGCAAGGGGGGCGAGGGAGGGGCAGGGCTAGGGAACGGTCTCCCCGCCTGCTGTCCATCAGCATCCAGCCCTGCCTCCAAGAAGGGTGCCCCCACAGAGCCCAGAGGCCTGGCCAGAGGGGGAAGGCACAAGAGCATGGGGATTAGGGGCACAAGCACCCCCTCCGAAGCCCAGGGGGCAGGGAAAAAGGGGGATTATAAAAGCCAAGAACTACAAAACTAAATACAAAGGTGGGCACAGCTGGCGAGGGGAGGGGCTGTGGGCAAAAGGAGAGGTCCGGTCCAGGCTGACTGTCCCTCGAGGGCCTGAGGCCACACTGGCACTCAGACCTTGTAGTAGATGTTTGCCGGGCTCTGGGGTGGCATCTCCTGGACGATGTAGACGGGGTGCCCGTAGTCCCCACTCACCTTCTCATAGTGGGGGCAGTAGTTGTTCTCTGTAGTCCGTAAGGGAATGATGATGTCGCTGGGCTCAGTGCCCGCTGTGCCACTGCCCCCCTTGGGACTGGCCAGGGTACTGAGCGAGAGGCAGCCGCCCGCTGCTGCGTGTGCTTGCGGTGCCGCTTGCGTAGCTTCAGTAGTAGGACCGTCAGGAAGATGATGATGAGCAGGAAGATGACACAACCAGCACCGACGGCCGCGAACAATGCCACCTTGGAGTTGAAGAAGCCATCAGGGTCCCCGCTGCCGCCCCCACTTGCACCTGGGCCACTCTTCTCTTCCTGATTCACAGTCTCTGAGGAAGGGAAGGGAAGGGAGGAATTTCAGGCCAGACCCAGCTTGCATTTCTTCAGAAACAGGGAAACAGCGCAATGGCTCCTGACCTCTGGGAAACACATATACTCTTACCATGCTTGCCATCAGAGTCACCCAGGGAGCCCCGACCCCCAGGGGCCTGTGTGGCCGTCTTGACAGTGTTGTCTGCCTCCTTGCTGGGCCGGCTGGTAGTCCAGCTGCTCAGGAGTCACAGCATTGGGATCTGAGGGTGGAGGGAGGACAGGTGAGAGGAAGGGACCTGCCAGCATAGTTGCCCTCAGTCTTCAAGGGTGGGCCAAGAATTGCCTGGATACTGTAACCCTATGCCCATTCCCCTACTCCTAATAAACCTGCACCCAGCCAGGAACATCTGTTCCAAAGGCCTTACAGGGTGGGGTGGGGGGCCCCTCAGATTAGGCACTCACCTTGCCCAACCTTCATGATAATCTTCATGGTGCGTGTACGGCACACACCCCCCTCCCCGGTTCTCCAGCCCCTCCAGGCTTCCATTGGATGTTGCTGCAGGAAGAGGCCAGAGAAGTCAGAGAAATCAGGAAGAGAGAAAGGTCTACTGGCATTACCCAGAAACTCCAGTGCTGCCTCAGCCAACGGGATAGAAACTGCAGTCGGGAGAGACAAGCAGCTCCCAACTACCAGTGAACCTGTTCATTTTCTTCCCTCCCACTAGGAACAGAGTGGCCTAGTCCAGCCCAGGCCAAGGACCAGCCCCCAACCCCTGGAGCACTGCTCCTCTATCCGAGCAGGCATAGCCCCTCTGTAAGGTCTGCCTTCCCCCTGGGAGAACTTGTTCGGAGGCAAAGCAATTAGAACTGGGATCATAGTAGGGGCTTCTACATAGACTGAAAGGAATGCTGCAGTAGGAATCAAGAGAACTGGGTTGGAGTCCTGATCCTATCTCTAACTCACTGTGTGATCTAAGGCAAGAAGCCCCTTCACCTTTTGGGGCCTCAGTTTCCCTTGAAGAAAAAGGCTCAATAGCTGGCTGATCCCAAAGCACCTGCAAATGCTGCCATTCCCAAGATTAGAACTTCAGTGGGCAAAGAAAATAAGAGAGAAGCAACATGAATTGGAGGCCTCTGCTGCCCAACCCCTGGAGCCAACGTGGGCTAGCAGCAGGCCACTTGGGAAATGTTGGGGCCAGAATTCCGAGGCCAAGCTAGGAGAAGAACATGCCAGTCTTCAAAGAAGACAGATCCAACAGGGCCTTAACTATGTGCAATAGCACTGCACAACGTAGAAGCTTCCACTACTACAGGAGAGGAAAGAGTTAAGCCCAGGGAGAGAGCCAGAGAATGGGATGGGAGGGACTCACAGGTAATGTAGTAATCATGGTGCTTCTTGAACTCCAGGCCCATGTAGTTGGGGCTGAACCTCTTGGAACTTGATGGTAAAGCGTATTTCCTGCTCTGGCCTATTGCAGGTGACCAACACGTTGGGGTCAAGCACCGTGCTACAGGCAGCTGCCTGCTCAGGCCGCACCAGGTACAGCTTGTAGTACTCATAGGGCCTCCCTGCTTCTGCTCGGGGGCAGATGATGTCCAGCTTGTCTCCAATCTTGGGATAGATCACCAAGCCCTTCCCACTCAGGAACCTGCCCAGAAGGAAGAAGATGGTCAGCCTCAGGGTTGGGGGTGGCCCCAGTCCATTCCAGAACCAGGGAAGTGGAGGAGAGCCGGGCCAGGCCTACTGGGTGGAGATGGCAAAAGCAGGCCTTCTGCCCTTCCTCCATCCTCAGGCTGGGAGTGGGGAGAGAGAACCACACTCCCAGCAGGGTGTGGAAGGGGTGGCCCATAGGCAAAGGCTGCCAGGCTCTGACCTGCTCGGCAGGGTGGAGCACTGCCTGGCTGGGGGAGCCCTTTGTCCTAATGTGGCATTTCCGTAGGGGGCTGACATGGCTAATGGGCTGGGTACCAAGGTGTCAGAGCCATGCTACCTGGAGGTGGCAGCCTTATACTCCCACCCTCAACAAACATTCCTTCATGACCACTGCTACCGCCTCCCCTATACACACACACCACACACACACACACACACTCACAGACACATACACACACACACACACACCAGAGCAAGCCCACACATGTCTTAATCACCACCCCCACAGCTCCCAGCCAAAGGCTGGGGGAGCTCAATCTGTCTGGGACCCATGTCATCTCCCGCATCCTTACTAATCTTGGGCATGATGGAAAGATCGAAACAGGCATCGCCTGGAGCCAAGGGATGATGGCCACTGTCTCTGGCCAGGTGCAGCTCTCCTCATTTCCACTGCCCATTGTCCTACTGGCAATTCATCCCACCTTCAAAATGCAAGAGTCTGAATCCATAAACTTGATTTACCTCATTCCTAAAAAGAACAGAGGAGAAGAGAAAGGGCTCAACCGGAGACAGCAGATCATAGAAGACAGGGCCTCTGTAATTCCACACATCTGTATCCTAACCCCTCACTTTTACGGTGGTCCTAATCTAGCTCCTGAGAGGAGATGGGCAAATGCCTTTTGAGCCAGGTTCATGTTCTAATCCAGAAGGCCAGGCATTGGGGGACAGCAGGGAGAGTCAGCTGCCCAGGACTACCTATCCATAGGACTCTGTCCTTGCCTAAGCACACAGAAAGAAAATGGTACTCTGTTGGCCATTTCCGAGCCTGGATGGGCTGGTGCTGAGAGCAAGGCAGAACTATGTAGGAAAAAGAACACAGACTTTAGAATCAGATACCAAAGCTAGGCCCTTACTAACTCTGTGACCTCAGATGAGCTACCTGATCTCTCTGAGCTTCAGTTTCCTCGCTTGTAAAGTGGGGGTGGCAAGAGCCCCTACCTGCCAATATTGTGGCGGGGAGACAAGGCAGCACATGGAGAACACGTAGCACACAATAGGTGTTCAATGAGTTTGACTGCCTCTTAGAAGCAGTCTCCCAAGAGGCAGGAGGTTAGATAATAACACTAAGTACCTATGAGCTCAGTCTCATATTTTGGAGCGGAACCAGGAAGAGAAGATATGGCTCCATCATCAAGGACTTTACTGCCCAGTTTGGGTTATAAAACTAAATAACCCACCCTCTAGAGACAGACAGCACCAGGCTATCTGTAGGTATGTCTGAGGATGATGGTTCAAGCAGAAAGGGCTGGAGGCATGGAGAGGAAGCAGATAGCACATCTGACCAGGACGGTCAGAGATGGATCCACAGGAAAGGCAGGATGAGAGTAGGTCTTGGGTGTGGAATAAGAAGTCAACACACAGCAAGAGTAGACAGCAGTGGCTAGGAACACAAAGCCCAGGCCAGTGATTGGTCCAGCTTGGCTTGGGAGTGAGGAGAGAGGAACAGAAGAAGAGATATAAAATTCCACCTGGGCCAGACTGAAAGGCCTTATGGGTCACGGCAAGCAAGGTGGTATCATCCCATTGGAGACAGGCTCTCAGAGCAGAAAGAATAATGGAGGGCTGCAGGCAGTGCTTAAAGAGAATGAAGCTGACAGTGTCAAGCACCAGTTTGCAGGCTATTGCAATAATCTGGGAAGAGAGTGGTTCCATTTCCTGAGGGCCCATTACACCAAAGGGACAACAAGCAATAAGGGTGTACTGGGAGCTCTGGGCAAATACCTTGCAATCCAAACCTATGTCCTCATCGGAGGGAGGGAAATGATACCCAAGTAGGTGAAGAGGGGAAGTAACCACATGGATGAAGTGGATGAAGAAAGGCAGCCCTTCCTCCATGTCGAGTGAGGCTCCACCAAGTTGGGAGCTGCCATCTTGATGTGCAGGAGGGTAAAAGCCAGAATGAGATGGCTTCCCCACTAGTACCTAACTATACAAGGCCCAGAAAGGAAGTAGGCAGGGGATGGAAGCCTGGAGAAACATTTCAGATAGAACACCCTGTCCCATGCACCATACAATGCCAACAACTTTCCCCAAAGCCTCTAGAATTCTCCAGGCATTTTCCCCTTTCCAGTGTCCACAACAGTTCCATCCAGATGGGAGGATTAGACAACTGCTCACATCTTAGAACCAGCAGGAACCGAGGAGTCCAGGCCCTTCATGTGAGGGAACAAATGATCAGATGAATGTCCCCATTGAAGAGAGGGGTCTAAACTTGCCCAGGACAGTAAACTTATGGGTCTAAGAGACCCTAAAACATTGCCTGAATCCTTGTACAGTTGCATCTCAACAACACACACACACACACACACACACACACACATATGCAGCTACATAGAGGGCACAGAATGGGAGACAAGCCAGCTCACCTTTCTAACCACTCGGTTCCAGCTTACTCACCAGGAGTCCTGTCTGCCCCAAGTGCAGTGTCCCATTGCCACCCAGACTCCGGAGCCCTGGAATTGGTACAGGGTTTCTAGCTAATTGGGGTTCTACCTTGAAGCCAGAGGCATTGAGGAAACAGATGTCTACATGATGGAGGAGGGGGGAGAAGAGAGAACTATTGCCCCCAACACCCTCAGAGTCTCTTCAACCTCAGTGAACAGACCTCATGAATAGTCATTAGCTCATTTGCATAGCAGCTGGCAAAGGGAAACTCACCTTCCCCTAAAGTACAGAAGGGAGTGGAGCCTGATGAGACCCACCTTCCCTGACTCTGATCCTCCCATATTGGTAACCTTCTTAGCATCTGCCCTACCATTGGGCAAACCTCATCTTGGCCTGTCAGAAGCCAAAGAGAGTGGTGAGGGGCCACGAGGGATAGGTTTGTGGTCAGTGTGAGTGAAGCCCAAAGCTAGGTATAACACTAGTCATACTTTAAAAGGGGACCCTACAGGTCTTTCCTCTTACCAGATTAGGAGTAGGAGTAAGGGAAGAGGAGGAAGAGATGTCCCCAGGTGAAACTCTTTATCCCCCACCACCTTACTTCCCCCCACCCCATGACCAAGCCAAGCTTTCCTGCCTGGGGCCACCCCCAGACAAAGCCCTTTTCTGAAAAATAAAGGGATTGACATGGCCCAGCAGGAAGCCTGAAGCAGGTCGCCATGGTAACCCCTGAGGCCTTCCCTCTCCAGCCTCTGATAGCCCTGGGACCCCAGGGAGCCACTCCAGGGAGTTAAAGGACTTGGGGGAGGCAGCCTAACTATTCCAGCTCTTCCCCTCTACCCTAGCCGAAGTTCTACCTTCAGCCTTTCTACCTAGCTTAGAAGCTTAGAAGCCATGCCATGACTGCTACAAAGAATCCTGGGATATGAAAAGCCTGAAGGGTCTGGGGACAATAGCCTCCAAGGCCTTGGACTGGCCAGAAACCAACTAACCAATAGCCCCCTCCTTGTTTTCTCCAGGTAAGCTCTTCTCCACCCATGTGAATACAATTTACAGGGGCAAGAAGAGCTTGCAGCTAGGAAGGTCTTGTTCAGAAAGCTGTCCACATCCCACCAGGTCTATGCTTCTTTCCCTGTCACTCTTTTCTCAGGCTCTAGCAACTTGTGGCCAGAGAATGGCCAAAGGGGGAGCCTGGTTCTAGGCCGTGCAAGTCCAAGTCTGGTAGAAGACTCTAGCCTCAACCTCAATTCAGTGACCCCATCACCACTGTGCCTGCACCCCACAGGGTGGCAAGACCAATGGAGAACAGACCCCAAGCCAGAGCTCAAGTCTGCTCTCATCCCAGCTAGGGTGGGGAGCCCCTAAATTAAAGGCTCCTCTTTCATTCCCCCCGCTCCACCCAGCCCCCAAGGCTGGCAGGAGCAGGCCTGGCATGTTCCAGCAGTGCCCGCCCAGGCGTGGGTGGGCAGGAACAGCAGCTGGGTCCTAGCACACACAGCTCTGTCGGAGGCAGGGAAGCTAGGAAAGTCCTGGAGGAAGTCACCCTCCCCACTTCCACTGAACTATGCCCTTCCATCTGCCCCACCTGACTAAAGCTAGTGTCCATTAGGAATTTAACATCCACTTCCCCGATGTTGATGTCTGCTTTCTGTGGGGTCCCTGAGAAGAGAGATTCTTGGCTCAGAGAGGAACCAAAGGTGCTACTCAGGGCTCTGCAGGGAGTGTGCCAGGCAGTGAGTTGGCTGCCTTTAGTTCAGGTCAGCAAAGCAGTAGGCCCTGGGAGGTAGGCCTAGCAAAGTCAAATGAGGAAGTTGGAGCACTGCTCACCCCACACAGACAGGACCTGAGTCACAAGGACAGATGCTTGCACACCTTCGAGGTGAGAGGGGAACTCAGGGGCAGGGAGCCAGGCCTCTTCCCAAACCCCACCTTGAATTCCTGTCTCTCCTACATTTCAAGGCAGCAGGAATGAATGGCACACAGCACAGCTCCGCCCCCATAGGCAAGTCATTGACTGACCTTAGACAAGCCACTTCCCTTGTCTGGGCATATGCCTTCTTATCTGGAAAATGGGGCCAATACCTACTTCCCAAGACTGTTGGGAGCATCCGATGAGATCATATATGAGAATGCATTGTAAGTAGCAAGGTGCCGCCTGCCTATTAGTTAGCATGCCAAACACAGCATTATTTAGAAGTAAAAAGCTGAAGGAGCTTACATTCCTGGCTGCCAGCACCCTGACCCAAAACAATGCCCAGGAAACACACCCAAGAGGGGCTGCTATGGGCTGTGGGGCAAGGAACCCAGAATGTGGCTGGTGAGCACCCCCATATCTCAGCTCCCCTAATAATCAGAGTGGATACTCCCCCAAACCGGATGTTCCCATGGCAACTAGCAGCCTCCTGGCTGGCCCATTCTCTCTCTTTTAGTCCCTAACCTCAGAAAACAGTGATGCACCATAGTAACCAGGGCCTACCCATCCCCATTCACCTGAGTGGATGAGGCAACAGAGAGCCCAAGGGAAGAAAGAGAACTCTTGATTCAGTCTCCACCCCAGCCTCCTTCTTGCCCTTGCCCAGCTGCCCTATGTGGGAGTGGGGAGGCAGGGGAACAGGGGACTTTAGGAGCTGCTGGGTTCCCATCACGCTCAGGCCTCCACCTGTGACCAATCAGCCACAGAGTAGAAGAGGTCAGGTCCCTAACTACCTGGGAAAAGAGCCCCCTGAGCTGGCCTCCCAGGACTGTGAGCTGGAACAGCTGTGTGGGGCTGGGGCCAGCACTTTGGCTTGGAGCAGGCAAACATGGGTTAGGGTCTGCAGCTGCCCCCCACCCATGCTGGAGTCAAGGGTCCCGGATGCCAAGCTGAATCCCCCCCACCCCCACCCTCTTGCAGGGAACGTTTGTAATGTGATCTCAGGCACATTACCACTCCCTGGAGGTGGGGGAACCTGAGTGGGGGGCAGGAAGGGGTCAGGACGGGACTGAGAGACTGAACTGCAGCAGCTGGACTTGGCTGAGGACTCGAGTGTGAGCCCTGCCGGCTGCCCCAAGCTCCCAGGGGAAGAGGCTGCAGGAGGGGTCGCCTAGGACCATTTAGATAACAGCCTCACAACACACACACACACACACACACACACACGCGCGCGCGCGCACACACAGAGGTTCCTAAAAAAACTCAAGCAGGACCAAACCCATCCCCCCACCTTACGCTCACGGGGCAAATCTGACATGAGGGGCCAAGGAGGCAGAAGCTCCTGCCACTCAGGGACTAGCACCCCAGAAGGCCCCAGCACCAATTTGGGAACGAGGCTGAGAGTTTTGGGCCAGCCCTTCCAGCTTCCCCTCCCAGTCATGACTGGGGCTCGGCCGCACGCACCTTGGAAGCTGGAAGCAGACCCCTAGCCCCACCACTTCTTTATTTTTATTTTTTCCCAAGGAGGAAGCAATTAAGCAGAGTTTATGGGCACTGGGAGATTTTCTTTTTTGGGAGGGGGGTTGCCAGCTTCTGACAGGGCTGAAAAGAGAGACCAAAAGCTGGTAGAGGAAGAGGGGAGGGAAGAGAGCAAATGAGTCTGAAAGGAAGAGCACGGGCATGTGCGAGAAACAAAAGGACTTGAGAAAAAGAGGCAGAGAGTGACTAAGAGTGAGAGGGAGTGTGAGAGTGAGGCAGAGCAGACAAGCCTAGCTGGAGAGGGGAGGTTAGCGCTGCTTGCAGAGGGTGTGAGAGGGCGAACTGACTTGGGCCTGAGAGGAGAACTCGGGCAGGAGGCAGAGAAGAAGGGAGACAGAGAGGGACTGTTTATTTGAAAGGCTTTGGCAGCCTGAGGGTTGGGTGCGGTGGCAGAGGCAGCCCCCAGAGCTCCAGGAGAGCTGAAGGCAGTTCCCCCTTCCTGTCCTCTTGTCCCTCCCCCCCAAGCCAACACACACAGGCAGTGGTTGCATTCTAGACCCCTGAGCCTGGATGGAAGGTTAGCAGCAGGATCAGTCCCTGACCCTTCCCAGATCTACTCAATTACAGAATGGAATTCGGACAGGTTCTGGAGAGTCTTCAGCCACCCCCCATCCCTACCCCACAATGCCTGCCCTCAGCTTGAGGTGGATGGGGAGTGGGGTCAGAGAGGACACCACCTCCCAAAACCTGTAAACCAGTCCAGAGCACTAAAAGCTCAGAACACAAAAAGGAAGAAGCACAGACAGATCGTGTTTCTTCCAGCACCCCCAACTCTGCAGGAGGGCTCCTTTCCAGCTGTGGAGCTGCATGCTATCTCTGGTTAGAGACCCGAGAGAGCAATTAGGTCACTCCCATGAGCCCCTATGATGGGCTACCCCAGGCGGATTTCAACTCTCCTGGCTCAAGAGAGAGCATTTCCAGCCTCCACCCTTACAGGGGGAACTGGAGCACTTCACAACATTCCCCCCATGGGCTCAAGCAAACCAGGGTTCCCAGAGCATTTTGGGCCCCTGCTGTTAGGAAAGCGCTGTACCCAGTTCTGCTTCTGGGTAGGGGAGAAAGTCTTGCCAATCCCTTGCGTTGTACCCAGGCAGAGCCCACTACCCTGACCCTGGTTTAGCCCTCCCACCAACTAGTAATAGGACTCTCCCTTAATCTGTGGACAGGAAAACTAAAGCTGCCTTCTCCCACTCCAGGGCTGGGAGATCAACCGCCCCTGGGACCAAGAGACCCAGGTAGGCAGGAGCCTGGGAAGTTAGTGGGGGAGGGGGACCCAGCAAGAGTGGACAGGAAGAAATTTGAGATACAGGAATCAGTGAGCACCGATGGGGGCAGGTCAAAGCTCCCCAGTTTCCTGCTAAGTGGGGTTGTTCGCACATTGCTGGGACCTCCAGAAAACTGAGAAGAAGAGGAATTTTGACCCTGGGTTCCAACCCGAGTCCTGGATGCCAAAAGAGAAGAAGGTCCAGAGGTCACTACAACAGCCCCAGCGACTTCCCACTAAAAGCCCAGAAACCACTGAGCCACCGCCCTGAAAGGTGTGTGTGTTGTTTGAAGGGGTTGTGTGTGTAGTGGTGGTGGGGTAGTTGTGCACGGGAAGGAGAAGAAAGAAAAGAAAGGATCTCCTTTATATAGGTGCCCCCCAACCCCTTGGGGAAAGCTAAGCACAGCTCCCCAATCTGGGGGATACACTCGGGGTCAAGAGGACCTGCCTGGGCAGGAATCGCTCCTTCCCCACCCACCTCCTTCGCCAGCTTGGCCGCCACTCTCCACCCTGGCGGGCCTATGAAGCTCGGCTGCCGGCTCCATTGGACCCCCGACGGGCGCTGGATCGAACCCCCACCCCCCAACAACCACTCTCCCACTCCGCCCCTCTCCACCCGCTGCCTTTGTGAGCCTGGGAGCAGCGCCCGCCTTTCTACCGCCCGGGCACGGAGAAAGGAGGGGCGGGGGGCAAGAAGAGACTGCAAAGCAAAAAAGCCTGGGAAGCAAACAGGGAAGAAAGAGAAATGAAAATGGGAGAAGCATGAGTGGGGCTCTTGGGCGCTTCAGGGGGATATTGGCGCTGCCACTCGCCCCAAGCGCCGGGTCCCGCTCTGTGTTCCCTCCACAGCTAAGCAAACGAGGAACCCATGTTCTGGCCTCATCTCTCGCCCGAGTCAAGCTCCTGGAGCGGCTCTCAGAGAAAATCACCACGTTCCCAGGGACCCCTGAGGAAGCTGCGTTCTTGCCTCCACTCAGCACTCCGGTGCGCGCTCCGGCGCCCGGATTCCCCAGCTCCGCCTGATGCGACCATCTCGACTTGATCCAGGACGTGTGGAGGCGAGGGCTGGGAAGCCCAGGGGTCACAACCCAGCCAAGTGCCCCTACACCACCCCGCCGCACCCTGCTCCGCCCGCCCGCCCTCAGGAAAACATACTCGAAAAAGCCGGAGACAAAATGAGGCGCCGCTCCTCCTCTGAAGACCTCCCCAAATGCACTCCGGGGCAGGCGTGCGGCCTCACTTCGAATGAGTGCCTCCCACCCAGGGGTCCAGAGCAGATAAGTTACTCACTTGGGGTTGAGGGAGCTCCAGGATACCGGTTCCAGGTTCTTAGCCAGTGGCGTGGCGAGCCGGCACAGCGCCCACACGACCATCGCCACAAGCCACTTGCCGAGCCAACGCTGCCCAGGCCGAGCCATCTTCCCGGAGCAGGCTGCACTTCGGGATCCCCGGAAGCTTCCTCAGTAAAGCTCGCCTAGCCTTCCTCTGCCGCGCTGCGCTCGGAGCCGCTCAGGCGCCCATCCTCCGCAGCCGGCGGCCTTGAAGTGCTCCCCTCCCGCCGGCTTCGGTGTGGCTCTTCTCCGCCCGGCCGGCCAGGAGGACTCACTGGGCAGCCGCCCCAACCCGGGCATGGGCTTCGGCCTCCGAGGGCTCGTTCTCCTGGGCTCTCCGCTGCCGCACTAGACGCGACGGGGGCTCTGCGCCCCCGGGTGATCCCGCCCGATTCCGCTCGACTCCGCGAGACAGTTCCGGGCTGCGCGCCCTCTCCCCGATGGGATCTTCTTGCAGAGGTCTCGGTGGCCGCCCCGACGCCTCGACCGTCCCGGGATCGCTGTCCCTGGGAAAAAGTGGGGGTCTCCCCACAACACAAGCTCGTTTCCCGGGCTCCCGATTGGGTCGCCCTGGCACGGGCTCCGTTCCTCCGGGCCACACTGGGACTCCGGGCTACGCGCCCCCCGACAGCTTCTACTTTAGCGCGGGCCCTGCTCGGTACAGTTAGAAGAGCGGGGAGATGCTGCCGAGCGAGCCAGTCCCATTAGTTTGCCCCTCCGAAGCCTCGGCCGGGTAGCCCGGCAGCCTCGCGTCGCCGAGTCTTTGCTTCCGGGCGATCGAGCCCGAGGGTCTGCCGCCGGTGCGAGCCTCACACACTTCCCACTGCTGACCAGCTCGCATAGACTCCCTCCGCTGCCGCTGAGCTGTCTACTCCCTTGCTCAGGCGAACGCAAGGCCAACCCTGCTTTCTTAGCCAATAGCAAGCTCCGTGGCGGGGTCCTTGCCCCATACCACGCCCCCAGAGCAGGAAGGGGGCGGGCTTTCAGGAAGCTCTTAAGGACGCCGCGCGCCTGATGGCACCAATCTGAGTGTGCGGCTCGTGCGGTCAGGGTTGGGTACCGCTCAGTCTTGTTCCCAGAGCGCTCAACCCGTGGGAAGTTGGCACTATCAAGAGCTGCCGGCCTGCTCTCCTCCCACGTATCTGGTCAACACCCCAGCCCACTGACCCGGGCCTGACAGACCCTGTCTCAAGTACCGCAGGAAAGTGCTTCCATTCTCTTTTTACACACAGGATCCCTAAAGTCCTGCTCTGTGCCCACCTCCGTGTCAAGGACAGCCTGTCTGCTCCCCGTCCAGTCCCACGTAACGCTCTGGTGGGCTTTCCTCCTCTCGCTCTGAAAATGCACAGTCTGATTGCACTTGGACCTAAGTCCGGAACATAAAAGTGAAAGCAGTGGAAGGGGGAGACTCGAGAGGGTCCAGTACCGGATTGGGGTTGGAAGCGGCGCGAGGGCCAGGGTGGGGTGGAGTGAGGAGAGAAGGCGTGTTCATCGCCCCTACGGACCAGGCCTTCGGAATCTCAGGTTTCCGGGGAAGCCTTGTGGGACCTCGAAAGCCCAGATTTAGTCTTGTCCTGTCTGATGGCGCGGGCAAGGTGCCGGGATAGGCAAACGGGGGGAGAGACAGCCCGTCGATAAAGAAAGACACCTCGAGGCCAAAGAGGAAGAAGCACAGGGCACGGGCCTTTTAAAAAGGCAAAAGCGGGCATCCTGGCCGGAGAATGCTCTCCCGGCTTCGCCATCTGGGTCTTTGTCTCCCAACCCTGGCCCATTCTCCCCGCCCCGCCTTGCCTCTTTGCTTATAACTTGGCTCGATCCCATAGCTCAGACCCTCCCCGGTCCGACCTACTCTCCCTGGTCAGACCCCAGAGGACGTACCTACGTGCTAATGTCTCCCCCTGCTGGACTTCCGTAGCACTGCGGGCGCCTGGGGCAAACCTGGAGCTCTCACCCAAGCCTGGCACACGCGCTTGAACACAAGACCTGGGACAGCCGTGATCTTGGCAAAAACTGCCACCTTGTACGGGGAGGAAGGGAAAGAACTAGGAGGAATATCTGAGTTTTGGGTAGGCTTAGGGACTGCAAAGAATATAAGGTCTCCCCACGGCTTCTTTATGGAGATAATTAGATGAGCAACATTCCCAAAGTGCTCCACCGTTTACACGCAGTTTCATGTCCATCGTCACGTTTAATAGGTGACTGAGCTACTATGTTTCTCACTGGATCCTCTGATGACATTGTGGCTGTAGAGGTGGGAAGAGCCCAGATTTTCCGTTTTTATGTTCTCCCAAATAGAGGAGAAAGGGCAGGCCCTTGAGGGCGAGGTGGATCTGGGTAGGTAGGAAGAGAAGGAGCTGTTTGGGGTCTCTGAGCTCAGCTGGACCCTGCATTGGGGTGTAAGGAAGGAGAGATGAGAAGAACAGGGTGTAGGGACACACCAATAGTCTAGCTGGGAGACTGGAATTCCCACAGTGCATGGTAGGACATCAGAACCTGAATACAGAAAGCGACCTTCAGCTTACTGTGTGCCTACTATTATCAAGAGCCACGTTAGATGCTTCTCCTTTCCTAACCCTTTGAAATGAATTTCAGTATCCCCAATTTTACCTACAGAAGAAAGTCAGGCTCAGAGAGAAGTGACCCATCTGAGATCGCCGAGCTGATCAGTGGGGAAAGCAGGATTGACTCCTGGCATATCTGTCTCCAAAGCCTGTGGCCATTCCCCTGCACCATACTGGCTCAAATTCCCAGCCAATCCTTGGTTCTTTGCTTCTTTGGTTCATTCCTGGTTAAGGCTGGTTCATGCCTGGACAGCAGCATCCTGGGGCTGACCAGAACTTTTCCCTCACAGTCCAAGAGGTTGCCAGGCCTGGAAAATTCGTTTATGTTCCTTGCCACAGCAAAGTGTTCTTATCTAAGATCACCACTGCCAACCCCAGAGCCAGCCTCGATTCTTCCTCCCCACAGCCAGCATGCCCGGTGCCTCTCAGGAGGAGAGCCCAAGGCCAGGTGGAGGGTGGAGGAGATGAGGCTGTGCAGCCAGTCTTGGGAAACCTGGGAAGACAGAAGTAGTTCATGAGTGTGCCAGCCCCTAATCCCAGTGGGCAGGGTGGCAGAGGAAATAAGGAGAAGACTCTTTATGTCCAGACCTGCTCCACATGCTAGTTATCCCTGCTCACAGCACAGCCTTTCTGCCTCAACCTGCCCACACCAGCTACAGGGGCCTCAGGAGCAGAGCCGAGCCTACTGCAGGCCATGGCCAGGCCAGTGATTCCAGGTTCCCACCTCCTGCCCCACCTGGCGGGGCCTCAGATGTAATGATTCAGGCCCCCGAGGTAGGGAAAAATTACTCCCAAGGGAGCCTGAGAGGAAGTTAGGATCTGTGGGTGTTGGGGGCTCTCTCATCCAAGCCCTCCCTATACCACTGGCAGTCACTCTCCACCCAAGCCTCCCAGATTACTGTGTCATTACAGATGCATGTACGTACACGACTATCAGGATTCTAGTCCACCAGCATTTCCCGAGCAGTACCTCTGTGCTAACCTTTGATCTGGGCCAGCCCTGTTGACACAAAGAGCAGTGACAACAAGCCCTGTCCACAAGGAGCGCCAAACACTGATACCTGTATATGGGAGATCCTGGACCCAGAGATGCAGGAGAACATCGGGCAGCTGCAGAAAGCCTCGGGCATCGTGCAGCCCTGGGAGAGCAGAACAGCTCCTTCGGAGCCCAGCTTCCCGCACCCGTGAGCATCAGGGAAGTATAAACTTCAGAGCCACAGAGTTCCTGCTTATGAGCTGTGTCTCCTTGGGCAAGTCAATTCACCTCTGTTGTGCCTCAGTTACTTGTCTGAGAGGTCATCCCTCATTCACAGAGCTGTGGTGAGGGGTGAATGAGATAATGCATGCGAATGGCTTAGCATCGTGCCTGGCCCATCACCGTGCTTACTAAATGGAAACTCTTATTCTTCTGCAGAGCCTCCCACAGAGACACTCTCATCCCCAGTCACATGCATTCTCACCTGTTCACACATGCTTTGTGGGCCACATGCACATTTTTTAATCTCCTCTCGTATTCTAAAACACTTGTACATAAACACACACAAACTCATTATTTTTTCACCTATCCATTCATTCAGCAGAAGGTAGCAGGACTAGGTCCTGTCCTCGCAGAATTTAAAATCTAGCCCCCACAGTATCTCATGTTCACTGTCATCCACACACACGTGTATGAACATGCACATACCTCCTTTCTGTTTCTGTGGCCCTTGTCCTTGACTTCTCCTGCCTGCCTTGCTCTCAGACACAGAGGGGTGAAGTAACTCACCTAAGGCCACACAGCCAGGAAATGGAAAAGTCCGGATGGAAACTCAGGCCACACTGATATCCCAAGGCTCTAGAAAGGAATGTGTGCCGAGGTGTGGGCCTTGGAGAGCCAGCAGGCCCAGCCAGAGCCAACAGTTACAAAAGCAGACTGAAAAGTCAGGGAGCAAGAATCCTAACTCGAGGCCCAGGGCATTACCAACTGGGACGACCCAGTGGGCTAGCAACCCTCTCTCCTGTCTGCCATCATCTCTAAACTGCCCCATGCCTCCTGCCTTCCTACTGCCTGTGCCTGCCACCCCACAGACACTGGCACCTATTCTCTACAAGGAGAGGGAGAGCTACCACTTATTAAACACTGGTGTATGTCCGGCAGTGCGGCTGGGTGCTTTCACCTGCTGCTCTATTATGTTTGTTTAATCTTCACAACATCCCTGAGGTTGATACTGATAGACCTGTTTCGGAGATAAGAAAACTGAGGCTCCAGGCTCAATCTGGCTGCATCCCCCACCTCTACCAAGCTCAGTCCACAAAGTGCCCTTTTCCTCAGCCAGCTTATTCCCACTACCCGCTTCTCTGCTGTCCTTCCCTCTGCCCACATTTGCCTCCTAGCTGACACCGGCTGGGGTCTATGCTGATCCTGTGTTGCCCTTTCTCTTCTGTGAATACTTTGCTTTTTCCAATTCACTGTATCTCTGGGTCAGTCTCAGGACAAGCCTGGGGTGGGGCCTGAGCCCTCCCACTCTTCCTCCTCTCCCCATCTGGCTGCACCATACCCCAGGGCTAGGTGAACTCTAGCCCCACGTGAGTAAGAGCTGGAAGTCTGTTTTCACTGCACCCATGAGAGTCCCCAGTGGCTGGGGAAGAAGCGGGTGGTCTCAAAGGCCAAAGGTTCAGCCAGTCTGTCTTCCAAGCCCCTCCCTGTCCGTGCCCCTGCCCAGCTGCATGCCTGATTTATGGGTGTTTGCATTGAG